CCCCAACAAAAAAAACACACACAAAATACCCATACAGAAATTGTGTACTATGCATTATTTTGAGGAATGATGTTATTATATACTGGGAATTGGATATTGAAATCTACGGATTGGGTTTCTTTTTCTTTTTTATAATTGAATGTAATGCATATCTACTTTGACCTATTTGATTGGATTTTCTCTTTTGGGTTTGACGTGAGAAGTGGTGGTTTCTATAGAAATATACAAGCGGAACTTTTGTTGCTAGATGTTTTTTTGCGGAAGGATTAGATTTCTGTTAATATCTTTTGGGGAAGGTGAATCTTTATAATTGGAATGTATTTGTTGTGCTTTGTTTTCTCAATTTTGTGAACCTTGCTAGGGTATGTGTGGGTGTGTGAGCATATATGTATGGTTTATTAGTGGTGGATTATGAATTGCACGGTATATTTATGCAGAGAGCCACATAGAAACATAGGCAGGGTGAAAGACAGGTTATAGATTGATATTGGGCATATAGAGAAGTAGAGGCTACAATTTTCCAATTATATTGATCCTTATTGATTTGCATACCGAGCTGTCTACATTTTTTTTTTGAATTTTATTGGTTAACGTACATAGTACAGACTACTGAATCATTTTTGTGGTTTCACAAATAATTCATTGGCTTTCTGGTATGATCTGAGCACCAGAGCTTTGGGGTTTCTCGGAATCTATTATGATGGTATTTATAGGGGATCTCGGAAGCAATCACTTAATGAGGAGATTGGAATTTATTGATCCCTTAATTGTTTAAAATTCTGCCAGTTGTATGCTAATTGTTTAGCATCCTCACCTTGAAACTGATTGAGTTTGTGGATTATTAAATGGATTTATTGTTAACTCTAATATTGTCATTTTATATATGCAAAAATGTTGCAAGATTTTTATCACGTTACAAATTAATGATTCCCATGCTTATGTTTTCACAAAGTGAAGTTGGTTTTTTATGGCACATATGCAATTTGTTTGGTAATTGGAATGGTCAACTTTTATGTTATGCAGTAGTCATGATTTGGAGAGATGTTTTCATATTTTGTTTAAGAGTACTTAGATCATATTATTTTTATCCAGGGTTTGAACCTAGGGCCAAAGACCAAAGTTCCTGCTGTAGGGACAGCATCCTTAAACCTGGCTGATTTTGCATGTACAGTAGAGGAGAAAGAATTTGAAATTAACATACCTCTGGCAGTTCCAAACGCAGTTCCAGGCAATGCAGCTGAGCTTCGTCCCTCACTCTGTGTATGTTTCATTTTTTGCATACAGTGGCTTGTTATTGACATTATTATGTGTTCTTGTCCTCACATTTCCTACTGAGGAAAATGCCTTTTATATTGGTTTTTAATTTTATTTTTTTAAGTGTAGTCCAATTTTTTTTTTATCTAAGAGACACCTATGTTGCAGATATCAATCTGCTTAATGGAACTGATAACTGCTCAAGAACCAACAGAAGCAGTGCAGAGGTCGATAGCTCCTGTTCAGTCCCCACTGCAATCAATCGAAACTTCTTCAATAGAGAAAGATGAGCTTTCGGCACTTAAAGCTGGTCTTAGAAAGGTGAAAATCTTTACAGAATATGTTTCAACCCGAAGAGCTAAAAAGGCTTGCCGTGAGGAAGAGGGCAGTGATGGCAGGTGCTCTGGAAGGAGTGAGGACGGCGATTATGCATACCCCTTTGACTCAGACTCGGTTGATGAATTTGAGGAAGGAGAATCAGATGAGGGCAAGCAGGACTCTAATGATAGGAAGTCATTCAGTTATGGGCCTTTGGCTTATGCAAATTATGCAGGACGGTCATTTAATTGCAATATGAGAGTCAAAGGTGAGGATGAGGGCTGGATTTACTACAGCAACCGCAAATCAGATGTGGGTTGCTCACACATGGAGGACTCGACTTCCTCTATTGCTGAGCCATCTCTGTTGCAGAAACGAAGTATTCTACCTTGGAGGAAGAGGAAGCTAAGTTTCAGATCTCCTAAAGCCAAAGGAGAGCCGCTTTTAAAAAAGGCCTATGGAGAAGAAGGAGGAGATGACATTGACTACGACCGTCGGCAACTTAGTTCTGACGAATCTCTTTCTTTTGGGGTACACATTCCTTTCCTTTGTTTTTCCATTTTTCAATCTAAATAGATGAAGAAATTCTGGATTCCATCATGTCTATATTTATTTCTTAAACTCTAAGGTCTTCTCTATACACTGGAGCCTTTACTTCATCTAATCAATGTTATTGGTAACTTGTATAGTTCACATTCTTTGCCTCTACCCATGAATTGCCCAGTTGTAGGTCTTTCATATATATACAGTAATAGTATTTAATTGGGAAGGTTAACTGGGTAGCAAGTTCATAAATTTTTCTTTCAAATTACGGTTATGAAGCAAAAAACCTCATTGCTCATCTCAGCGATGCTGGTTTGTGCTTCTGTATAAGGTTAGGCTAGATTTGTTACCAAATTATAACGTCTCATACCAATACAAGAATTAATATGATCTCATGGGATATTATTCCTGTAATACTTTAGCTAACTCAACTTTACTTTTGACTAAAAATTATTTTGCCTGGTCCTTTATTTGATTTAAAACTTCAGTTTGTTGTTCCTTCAGAAAGCATGGTTGAATTATCCTCTCAGATTTGAAGCATTTATGCCGTACTAAATGTTTTTGATATGATCAATTGATACCATTGACCTAGCTTGCATTTTTAGACGGTGCATGTCATGAGATATTAACCCTTTGTCTGTTTGAAATCTTCAGTGTCCTTTTTGGTTTTGTTTGGGATTCTGCAATGCCTTTGATTGGGTTTATGATTAGACATGAACTTTGATATAAAATGTTTGCATTACTATTGTGCATACAGTTGTATTTGTTTTTTGGTCTTCAGAGGATTCAACCCCACAATGGGGAGGAGAGAATGAGCTCCTTGGAGGCCACCCAAAGCTGACTAAGCTTGATCCGTGGTGATGCATAAAGTGTATTCATGCCGTAGGATACCTGTTAGACAATATGCTGATTAAATTTCTGTTTGATAGACTTAATATTGTTTGTACAATGGTGAAATAGGATTCATTTAGCTGGCCCCAAAAATGTTGGGACAAGGTTGAATTGAGTTGAGTTCAGTTGATATTGTTTGATTTCTTTAGAAAACAAAAATACAGCTAAATTTGTTGGAATATGACATGAAGACGGCAATCATATCAATTTGCTATTGTTCTAAATTCTTTTATACAAATAAAATTGTCAAATTCCAAGTACCATAAATGACCATCTTTTTTTGCAGTGGCATAAGACTGATGAAGATTCTAGTGCAAATCGATCATCAGTATCTGAATTTGGGGATGACAATTTTGCTGTCGGCAGTTGGGAACAGAAAGAAGTAACGAGCCGTGATGGACATCTGAAACTTCAAACTGAGGTCTTCTTTGCTTCCATCGATCAGCGGAGTGAGCAGGCAGCAGGCGAGAGTGCATGCACAGCCCTGGTTGCTGTGATTGCCGATTGGTTGCAAACCAACCATGGTCTCATGCCTATTAAGTCACAGTTTGACAGTCTGATCAGAGAAGGCTCATTGGAGTGGAGGAAGCTCTGTGAAAATAAAACTTATAGGGAGCGGTTTCGTGACAAGCACTTTGATCTGGAAACAGTACTCCAAGCCAATATACGTTCTCTTTCTGTTGCTTCTGGGAAGTCCTTTATCGGGTTTTTTCATCCAGATGGGATGGAGGAGGGGAGATTTGATTTTCTGCATGGGGCCATGTCCTTTGACAGTATATGGGATGAGATCAGCCGGGCTGGTTCAGAATGCCCTGGAAAGGGTGAAACCCAAGTTTATATCGTCAGTTGGAATGACCATTTTTTTGTCCTCAAGGTTGATCCAGAAGCTTACTACATCATTGACACATTAGGGGAGAGGCTCTATGAGGGATGCAGTCAGGCTTATATCTTGAAATTTGACAGAAAAACGACAATTTTTAACCTGCCCAATGCCACAAAATCTTCAGAAGAAAAACCTGCTGATGACCAGCAGATAGTTGTTTATGCTGTGGAATCCAAACACCAGCAGACTCCGCAGATCAACCCAAATGAATGTTCTGTAGAAGGGCCACAAGTAACCGAACCTGAAGAATCAATGAAGACTGAAGAGCAAGAAGAGGTTGTATGTCAAGGAAAGGAATCGTGTAAGGAGTACATAAAGAGCTTCTTGGCTGCAATCCCAATAAGGGAATTGCAGGCAGATCTAAAGAAAGGTTTAGCTTCATCAACGCTTCTCCATCACCGATTACAGATTGAATTTCATTTCACACAGTTGCAACATCCAGCACCCGAAACTCGAGCAATAGAAGTAGCCACGGTCACACCCATGCCCTAAGTAGTTGAAGTTGCAATAACTGATGCTGTCGCATTGATATCTAATTACTTACTGTAAATTTTAGGAGAAGTGTGATTATTTTCTAACATGTTTTTCTCTTTAACATGGTATGTCATCAGGTGAATGGTTCAAAAAGAGGAGAGCCCATTTGATCTCGTTCACTGCTTTCTGTTGTTTTCTTTATTAGATATATCCTGGACTACATTGAAATCATCCTTTCTAATGTTTGTTTCTGTCTGTCTGTCTGTTCTTGGATTGTGTGCCATCTCATTTTATTTTGCCTTTCCAAGAAAGGGATTCTTGAATGAAATACCTCTTTAACTTCTGATCTGTGTACTTATTTGCTTGCAGTTCTCAAAATGTTCTTCCCTTTTAAGTGTACAACTTTTTCCAACTTAGCGTTAGAATCTGGGTTGATGGCATCTAGGATTCTGCTAGTAGGTTTTGGTGATGATTCTTCAAGGTTCCAATAAGATATTCATTGTTTGTAGCTGTGTATCAGCTAGCTGTAAAGATGACTTTTTCAATTTTAGTCATCAGGGGATATGATGAGATGCTTTACTTTGTTGTGCAACTTTTGAGAAATACTCCAATCAAAGCTCTCCTATTGCTTCCCTCTATATTTTCTGATGAAATTGAGCCCAACTTTGGTGTAATTGGCTACAATCAAATTGGATCAGATGTATGCATTCGGACGAAGTCAGATATAGAATACGTATATAAAGTCTGTCAAACAAACGGATCTTTTGGAATTCCAATATAAATCAGTAGACAATCAATTCAAAATCCGATTTATTCACAGACCTACTTGCACCTATTAGACAGTAAAGATGGCTTATACTGTGAGGCATTTTATTATTCATTCCCCATACCAGCAGTGCAAGTTCAGAATATTCCCTATTCTGTTTCAAAGTAATACTTGAGTGGGCTAGTCTCATAATTAGGCTGGCATAGATACTTCCCTGGCATCCCTATAGCATAATTTGGTCCAACCTTTTTAAACCTAGTAGTAGAATATACCAAATGTTTAACTTGAACTATTTCTAGAGGAGTCGGTATCGAACAAAAATTTTGGTACTGTGCGTCAAATTTTATAAGTTGAGATATAAGTTTTTAGGTTTTTTTACGATAATTTTTTTATATGTATTTTGAGGTCATATTACAATTATTAAAGCTCAAGTATAACTTTGGTAGGTCATTTATAACTTTTATGAGTGATTTAGAATCGATCCTAAAAATGTTAGAATCAATCACAAGAAACCTTAAAAGTTGTAAATAATCTTAAAAGGTGTAAATGATCCCCAAAATTTGTAAAATGGTCCTCAAAAGTTGTAAATAATCCTTCAAAATTGTAAAAATAAATCACAAAAATTGTAATAGCGGTTCAGTACCCCAAAAAACTTTTCAGTATCGTAGACTTCTCCATTTTTAGAATTCAATTCAAATTTCCTATTTTATGGTCCAGGAATCTCCTAATGCTTCTAGAAATTCATAAATTTTAATTAAGATTGAAATGCAAGCAGAGTACATTTTAAAGTATCATGAAACTAATGACTTTTGGTGTGACTGTTTAGTTAGTTTTTTTTCTGGTAATAATGCTACATCATTAAAACATAATTTCTCATTTTAAAAAAGGGCAGTAGCCCTCTTAACTATATACACGAGTTATAGTTACTAGATTATGTGGGATGTGGTAGTTATGTGGGATGTGGTAGTTATTTAACTATGTCTATATAGTGTTTTATTGTCAAAGTGTAATATATGTTTTTTAAATTGAATTGTGATACCACGTACTTTACTGAACATAGAATTTTTTTTTTTTTTGGTTACAAGGTGTTCATGTTTACGTCGACTATTCTTTCGAACTTAGAAACTGATCATTGTAGTTTGAACGAGTTTAAAACATGTCCTCTGAGAAACAAGAATGACTAACTTGCGGGATATGTGCTTAGTTTTCCTCATTCATGCCAAAACACTTCATTAGTCAACAGAAAAATTTTACCATGGGGGATTGTATGCATTCCAAAAGCCAAACAAAAATAGTTTTAAGGGTTTTTTAGGTGTGAGTATATTTTATTTAGACTTATTTGAGAAAAAGTCTATGAATAAGTATTGTACTCTATCAAATTCAATTTTAATAAAGTATATTGTGATTAGGTCCAAAATTCAATTATGCATAATTTTTTTACTTACTTATCCTTCCTTAAATTGTGCATAATTTTTATTTTTCCATCTCTCTCCCTCTATTTTCTCTCCATCTTTCTCTACCTCTCTCTCCATTACTTTCTCACTATCTCTCCCTATTCTTTTTCTCTCTCTCTCTCTGCCTATCCCTCCCCTATTTTGTCTCTATCTCCCATTAATAATTTTTTTTTTAAATATGTAAATATTTGATTTGATTTTTTTTTATCTGTCCCCTATCCCCCCCCCTCTCTCTCTCTCCCTTTATTTTTTCTTACCATTACTTTGTCTCCTTATTTTTTTCTTTATCTATATATCAATATTACAACAACATAATTACACTAATTAGTTACACAAAACTGTTACAATTGTACTATAATATATTCCAAACAATTACATAAAATTATGATACCAACCCAATTTGTTATTCAGTTGTTTACATAAAATCAAAAAGTTGCACCATTTAGTATCACGACATAGTTACACCAATTATATACACCAAATTTAGTATAATCTATGAAGCACGGATACAAATACGGAATATGGGTACAATATAATACGGATACGACGAAATGACATAATATAAAAAAGTAAGATATGGGTACGACAAGATACAACTATAATAAAATATATTAAATATTTTTATTATTTTCAACCAACTTAATACTTATATATTTTGGTAGTTATTTAACATATAATAAAGAAAATTAGAAATTTTTTTTAGTTTCAAGAAAATATATATTGTGTCGTTGTGGTATATTCATAAAGTGAAGTGACTAATTAAAAGAATCAAAGCTAATATTTACCTAGTATTTATAAATAATTTTTGCTAAGATTATAATGTAATAGTTTTATTTTATACTCTTTTGACATGTAATTGTAGAAAATGCTTAAAAAATACTCATGTGCCTTTGAAGTAATATGAATTTTTTGTTAATGTATTGTATAGTATGTGAATTCAAAAAGAGATGTTAAAAGTTCAACTAAAAAATTATATGTGTTGCTCGATTATAAAAGTATCCGTCAAGTATCCTAATATTTAATTATCATCGGATACGTAGAAGGTGTATTTGATACATATCTTCGAGTATCCGACACCTGTACGTCAATCTCAACGAAGTATACATGCTTCATAAGGTATAATGGTAAAATTTTTTGTGTAATGAGAAACCCAATTTGGTGCATATAATTGGTGTAACTATTTCGTGATACTAAATAGTGTAACTCTTTGACTTATATAAATAACTGAATGATAAATTGAATGAGTGTTATAATTTCGTTTAATTGTTTAGTGTAATTTTTTGGTTTTATTAGAACTTATGAGTAATTATTTGGTATATTATAAGATAATTGTAACTAATTAGTATAACTGATTGATGTAATTGTATTGTTATAACGTTGATATAAAGAGAGAGAATAAGGAGAGAAAGAGTAACGGTGAGTGAAAATAGGAAGAGATAGTGAGAGAGAGAGAGAGATGAAAACATTAAATTAAATATTTTCATATTTGAAAAAAAAAATTATCAATGTAAGATGGAGATAAATAGAGAGAAAAATAGGGAAAAGAGAGTAATGCAGTAATAAATGATTTTTTAGTTTTTTTTTCAAAAAAATGCACTTAAGGTCAAATAAGTTTTCTTAATATAATTTAACTCAATTAAATCTAAATTTTTGTACGGACTTTCAAATTTTCCTAGTTTTAACTACCAAATCAGATACAAGCTCAACGGGTTCGTTTCAACACTGGTGGTAGATTTATGAGTTCTTTGGAAGCCGGTACACTTAGTTAGACTTATTTGAAAAAAAATACATAGAATAAAATGTTTTTTTAAAAAAGTACACAACTGAGATACAAAAACGTAAATACTCACTTTAATGTCATTTAATTCAAAATCACTTATCTTTAATGCACATTGATTCATGTGTATTTGTTAATATATATATATATATATTTGTTAAATATTTTATCTAAATTTTAAATTATTTTTAATGCACATTGATTCATGCGTATTTTTTTTGGAAAGTGGTTTTATTTTTAAATTATATTTATGCATTAAATATTTACTATTACTAGTTTTATAGGAGAATTTTAATATTTTGTTTATTTTAAAATATATCATTTATTTGAATTTCAAAATTTGTTAATATCCGAACTCCATAATAGTGAAACAAATAGACTGTAACAAAGATAGTGTAACAATACACTGTAACAAAAAAAGTGTTCAGTAATTTTGTGCATGCACTAGCAAATTCAAAACGAAGATAGATTATTTTGAATGAAATTATATGAAACTATATGTTTGACAAAATGTAATAGTATAATATTTGATGTAAATAGCTTGTTACACTGCTATTGTTACACTATTACACTATTTGGATATTAAATTAATTTAAAAATAAAATTATTTTCCAAAAAAAACTCATGAATCAAGGTGCATTAAATATAATTTGAAAAAAAAATCATTATCCAAAAAAAAATATGCATGAATCAAGGTGCACTAAAGATAATTCAAAATTTAAATAAGAGATTTAACAACAAGTATGTGTGTGTGTGTATATATATATATTAAATATAATTTAAAAATAAAATTACTTTTCAAAAAAAATTTACTTGAATCAAGAGAGGACATACAAATATGAAATATTAAAGTTTTTCCATAAAACTTGAAGATGTTTACTGCACCACTTTTCAAAGAAAATACATATGGATCAATGGAAGACAAAAATGTAACAAAAAAATTAATAAAATTCAAATAATGTACTTAGATACAAATAAGTATCAAAATTAAGGAATTAATTATCTAACATTTTTTTTATATACTTTTTTACGATTAAATCTAATTTGATACCCCTTTCCAATTTTCCCTAGATTTATTGATGGTTGTGGGTCTGCTTGTGTATTGAATGGGCCTTTGTTCTTTTGAAATTTGTCTGGCCCATTTCAGGCCTCGACTGAAAGTTATGTCTATTTTAAGTTTTTTTTTCGTACTTTTCGCTCTAAAAAATTTCAAGATTTTTATTTTGAACCTTTAAACATTAAAATATTAAATCCTAAATGTTTCAAAAAGTGTTGTAAAGTGATTTTTCTATTAACTTCCGTTATTTTTTCAATCAAACGTCAATTCATTGATACTAACAAAAAAAATAATGAAAAATCAACAGAAAAATTATATTGTAACACTTTTGATACATTATAGGTGTAATGTGAAAAATTTAATTTTTACAGATGCAAAATGAGAATCTTAAAATCTTTCAAGGTGTAAAGTGCAATTCGCTCCCATTTAATGGGGTCGGGATTGGTTAGGGTTTTCCCAGTTTGATTAGTCATAATCCCCTTGGCTGCCTGCAAGTATTAGACTCTTATTTATTTACCTTTTTTTTGGCTAACTTGGAGGTATTTGGATCTCTTACACTATCCAATTAATCTTTTCTGGCACTAACAGTAACCTTTCGGGGCCATCTTCAAACATTTATCTTGGTAATTATTCGGTACATGTGGATTGTTTGAACTTGGATGGGGATTTTATTCATGGTATGCACATCCTACGATCATTCTAATTCTGTTACCAATTAAATGAACTAAATTGACATAAATATACAAAAAAATAATGGTATATGTATTGAAATTGAAATCATTGATACTAAAATGGGCACAGCTCCAAAAATAGAGGAAACAAAGGGCTGATTTTCCCTAAAAATACTTGTTAAACATATTAGCACATATAAAGGTGATTATCAAACTTCCAGCAAATGGCCAATACTGAGATTTTCTCAATGTACTGGTTCTCTGATTTAATGGGTACATTTGAGTGTCTAGCTAGTGTCTCAAAAAGTGTAGTTTGAACCCATCAACATGTCCAATCTAAACAGCTTTTTCATGACCATATAGCAGCATATTAGTGATTGGTTGGGCACAAACATCCTTTTTTCCATTACTAGATAGGTAGGGAGATTTCAAAGACGTTTCAAAATACTGTTGAATTTGTGGGTAGACGAGATAATTTGGCAAACTGAAACATCTTTATTTGAGTGATTCCGATAGTAGAGTCTGGCGAGAAGGGGGGGCATGGGCATTAGTTGATTGTACTATTAACCATTTCTTTTCTTTTTTTGGTAGGAGAAATTTATAATAAATTCACTTATTTCTGTCACTTCCATTATTGCTACCGAATTGGCTGTAGGACTTGCTTCTAGCCTAAATCATGAAGATGAAGTAGTGGGATTATAAGCATAGTGCACCCTAGGTAACCAAAGTCTAATACCAAAAGCATCACTAGCTAACGCTCTGTTCTGAGTAATTTATGAGAGTAATTTATGAGGGTATGCATATTTGGTGTGAATCAATAAGGACCATTTTTAGGTAATTTATAGTAAATTAGTGCCATAAAGAAAAGGTGAAAAGAACCCCATTGGTACTATAGTGGCTTAGACCATGAGAGAGAAGATCATTGAAAGACATCATCAGGGTGGATACAATAAGGGATGAAAATGCCTAGCTGCACTGTTTTCATAGGCACTATTACAGTGGTGGCCATTAGGCCAACTGCTAATTTCGTAGCAAAAGCTATAAATGGCTCTTTATAATCATCTCCTTCGCAGCAAAAGCTATAAATGGCTCCTTATAATCATCTCTTCTAGGTTTAGACAACAAGAAATCACACAATTCTAAACACTATCTTGAAAATATTGCCAAGGACCATGGTAGTGATCAAAGAAAGACGATAATCAACCACTGTCCTTTTGTGATGTTCTCATGCAAGTACAACACAAGGGCTCATGCTATCTTAAGATCTTAGAATCGGAGTTTGAAAGCTTTGAATCAGAAGAGTGGGAAGAAGATGAGCAGCAAATCCATAACTAGGGCACTTCGAATTGTCCCCCTTTGATCAACATGAATGGGGAAACTACAAGGATAATTTCTCAATGATTTATATAACAATACAAAAATTATTTTTATATTACAAGATCAAGAGAGCAACATGAAAGAAAAAAAAGTTAGATATTCAGCAGCAAACATTGCATATGACCAATCCATTTTCATTACATTTCGGGCATCTAAAAGGTGATTCACTGCCTTCTCCCTCGTTGATGACCTTCCGACTGCCATTACAGTTGAAACACAGCACAAATCTCAACCCAGCACACCCACTGCAGGGTCCATTTGATGGATTTACTGGTATTCCTTGCAAGAACTGCCTCAGCTTTCCCTGTTCATGCAACGCAACCACCTCATGGGCCCCTCCAATGTGTCTTCCTTTAATGAAAAGCCTTGGAGGGACTACTCTACCACCCAAGATCTTCCACAGCTCCTCTCTATATTCCAAGTGCATTGAAACGTCCCTCTCGCTGTATAAAACCCGGAAACTTTCCAGCAGAAACCGAATGGTGTTACAGTCCTCGAATGTCTTCCTGATTCCTCGCATGCTTGTTGTGTAAAGAATTACTGATTCACTTCCTCCTGGTGGACACTTCTCTTCAAAATCTAATAGTAATGGATGTTCTTCACTGTCATTTTCTTCATAATCACCACCATGTTCCTTGATCACAGGCTCCAAACAGGCTAACTTATCAATTTCCATAAGAGGATCAAGATTAAAGTCACAAGATTGTGATTCTGCAAATACTTTTTGTACCTGATCAGACAATTCTGAAGTACAAACAACAGTATCACTTCCATACTCCAATGTGACTGTAATTTCTTTCTTATACTTACCAGCCGCCATGTCTCTGGACTGCAAGGGGGTTTTGAAGTTCCCTTGGTTGCCACCATGGTAGAAAGAATCCAATTCTTCATCCTTGACATCGTTTAAGTGTTCAGGTACGCGAAAATCGCCAGGAACGAGCTCTGGAAGGCTATTGCTCTTCTGTTCTTGTTCTAGGTGAACTGGTGGGATTTGAAAGTTTTCATGGGTGAGATATTCTTGAAAAATCAGACCATGTTTGAAACTGGCTAATGTTGAAATGGATTTCACTTTCTTGAGGAGTTTCTCTCTCACTCTTTTCATCTCTTTTACTGTTTCTCTTAGCTGAATTGGTTTGCTTGGGCTGAAACCTAGTTAATGGATTGAAGAAAGGAGACTCCTTTGGCTGACCACGACTAGTGAAGAAACTAGGGGAAGCAATGTCAATGGAGAATTTTTCTTTATGGTTTCCAAAAGGATGAAAAGTGGAAACTGGAAAGCCATTGTTGGTTGCTTTTTGAAGTCTTCGATGATTGCTGCATAGAGCGAGGGGTCAGCCCCAAATGGAATCCCATCTATGGCTGCCCACTAGCAAATCAACCAGTCCTGGGCATGAGACGGGCATGAGACGCAACTATAAGTTTCGTCCATTGTGAATTTGCATCATGAGTTTGAGTCATACAACTAGCCTCTTCGGTCACAGAGTAGCGTACTATGTCACATGGGCATCATGGGTTTAAGTCATAAAAATTGCCTCTAGTTCTCACTCGCAGAGATAAAATATTATGTATATCTAATCTATTTCGTATTCCGTTATATATAAAGTAGATAACCCTTTATCAACCAGTCATGAGACACCTCCTAAACTATTTGAAGGGGATTTCCTGCTGAGATGACCCTGCATGATCGGTCAAATGGTTGCTGTTCCAGATATGACCCCCCCCCCACGTGGCACGACTCAATTGGCCGTTCAATACCGATGGACTTGGGTTCTCCTGCATCAGAGTTCAACCCATGGAGACAAGGTGTGCCAACTATCATAATTCAGTCACAAGGGTCGAAAAAGCAGTTTCTTCTCTCTCTCTCTCTCTCTCTCTCCATCAATTAGTGCTTTCTGGATATAAAGCAACCACAGCAAGTGAGCCCTTTTAGGTACAAGCCATGATGCTTGTCCCAATCTACCATTTCTTCCCCCACCTGCATAAAACAAGTCTCAAGTCTTATTGCAACTTCTACCTCTCATTACCTATTTAGCATTAACATTTCAGCAATAAGTTAGTAATCTTCTATCAAAATATACAATTCCATTACATATATACAATGCTATAATTCAGTTTTGCATAAGTTCTCTGAACTCTTAAACTGCTTTAGCACAGTGTACGAGGCTCTCCCTCCTGGACATACCTCGACCTTCCTATCCCAATGATGCTATGTCTCGCTTTAATACCACTTGGCACGGCCTTGCAAACCCAAAGTTTAAATGTTAGGCAGAGAACCATCAAAGACCTTATAAGTCTATATGACACGTCCTACTCAAGGTATGAAATGTGACATTCTCTCTCACCAGAAGATGCTCGCCGCATTCAGCTCCACCTTTGGACGGGGCCCACTTTGCCCGGGCCAGTGAGGAGCCCACATTGCTCGATTGAGGATGCAAATCTGAGGAGTCACTTAAGAATGCAATTAGACTAGATCACATCTGTACAATCTGGCCATATCATTTACTGTTGGCTTGAGCTCTCTATTGTCATGATAAAGCTTTTGGACTAGAGGATGAGCTCATTTTTTATCAAACGGCTAGTCTTTTTCAGAGTCCCTGCAATTCCAACACTCAGGTTCAATGGTTGTTAATTGAATTGTTCATCAACACTTGAATTAACAAGAAGTGTCTGGTTTAGGATTGAGAGTGAAGAAAGCTGATCTAGACAAACAAAAGTGCAGTATGTCAATATTGCAATTAGAAATCGTCGCAGATGGTATAATTTCAATTTAAAGGTTGTAAGTTATACCCGTCGCATAAGGCCCTAGCCTATTATGGGGTATGAGAGATAACTAATGGTCAATGTTATCGCTTTCTAGAAAAACTGATTCTTGAACTCAAACCCGTAATATTGCTTTGGCGAATGAGCACTTACCATGCTCCCTCGCCTAATTACCTTGTGATTATGTTACTTAACAGACATACACAAGAAAACATTGGTCCTCAAAAGTCTATAAGATTTGATTGTTTGACAAAGCTTGGATAGAAAGAAGGTGTTGAAGAGAGAGAGAGAGAGAGGGGGGGGGGTTGATATGGATTGATTAAAGAATCAAAGAAGGGAGACTTAACTATGTTGAAGCCTAATCCTGAAATCAAAGCCAAAGCATGTCAGATTATATTTCTTTTCATCAACCGACTGTCATATCAAGTGTGTAGTTGCCCTGTATATTTCAAACATCAACAGAAGAGGAAAAGCAACATGCTCATGCTCTTCCGAATTCATCCATTGAAGAGAGAGAAAGAGAAACAGACGAAGAGATACGAAGAGATTCACCATATTATTTTGTCAAAACTCATCCTACTAAGGAAAAAAAAGCCCAGTTTTGAGATACCAATTGTGATATATCCAAAGAGTTATGGCACCTAACCACACCATAATCCTATACCAAATCACGAAACATGAAAGGCTAAATGGCTAATACCTCAACAACGATTAATAGGATTGATTACTAAGTCTGTAAAGTAGTTGAAATAGTCAAAAGTATATACGTCACACAACAGTGAAAAACTTGGATAAATTCCAAGGTTTTGAAGCTACGAAGGCAACGATCCTTTGTTTGCAGTACATATATGTTGTTACAGATTGATGGATGAACCCATCTCTGAAATACTTAAACATCAGCCACGGACTCGGATGCTACAAGCCCAATGCTGAAATCAAAGCCAATGCAGGTCAACTGATGTTTTTCCTCATCAACCATTGTCACTTTAAGTGTGTAGGTGCCCTGTATATTTCAATTATTGTCAGTTCCACAAAAGAAGAGGAGAATGAATGTGATTAGAGAAAACCACCAAATATAGAAGACAAAGAAGAAAAAAACAAGAAAAAAAAATGTATTCCACATAAACAAGATTTAAAAGATACGAAGCGGAACTTACAAAAAATTACTATAGGTGTGGCATTGCAGTGTATTTTATTTGGTAACAATTTATATTCTCAACAAAAGTCTGGAGTATTTTGATTCTCCGTAATTAAATTGTTATTTGCAATTTAAAAGATCACAATTACTGTTAACCATCTATTTTACTCAGATAAACCAGTCCAAAAAGCCATACGTTTTGGTTTGGGTTAAGAAGTAAATTTTAGCTATAAGGACTCACTACTCATCACCAAATCATCATCTAATTGCAGTTCACAATACCTACCTATTTAGGAGGTACATATATTTCTCATGTTTCATAAATATTGCGATGTTTTTTGCGATTGTGATTCTTGACAAATTTGTTACACTGACTACCAACCTTCCATAAACTCCCACGAATTTAGAATTCCGAAGTTGAATTCTCATGAGATGGACAGGTTCGAAATATTTCTCTGGTCTCCTGGACAACCGAATGGGTAATAGAGAATGATAGGAAGAAAGTAGTTAACTTGAAGAGTTGAGAGCAGAAGATTGGGGCAGGGCCAGAGGAGGATGGGGAAGAGAGTAGAGTCGGACTAGCAGTGGGCATCATTTAAGTCAATAATGCTTTAGTCACCATAAAAAATATTTAAGAATGGGTAATTGTCTCGTGCAGTAATAAAATTCTTGGGCTAACAATTGCAAAATTGTGAATTCGAATTTGATGACAGTCACTTTGCAAAAATCATGCCAAAGATTAGGCTTGTGTTTAGTCAATCCCTCTGGGTCATGACCTTTTCGTACATTGCAAATCTACCAAACTCAACCATGACCTTTTCGTAGAAACTACTAAAGAGGTAAAAAATGAAGTCCGTACTCATTTCCGTCCTCCATGAGAGCACCAAATTAAGGCATGCCTAAAAACTGATGAACCAAGGATCACAAACAGCAAAGCAGGTAGCCATGCTTCTGGGAGCATAATTCTATAGACTAAAAACATGTTCAAAAATAAAATCAGATGACGGGAAAAAACCAAGAAATGAACGTGTAGGACATGACAAACATCAGACGAGAGAGAAAAAAATCAAGGAATGAATGACTATGTAGGACACAGCACGGCAACCATCAGAGTCCTAACGTGCGATTGCTAGATTAAAATTTGTTTGCAGAAAGCAACGTTGAAAAGGAAAATAAAAGTCCTAAAATGCAAATCTAGTTCAGGAACAGAATGCAAAACCATGCAATCAAGCCTCAGCAACCATGCAATAAACCTGGGCATTTGGGCAACCACTCCATTAGTCTCTTTTGGGGCTTGTGTGCAAGGAGATAAATAGGAAATCCTTTGATGGGAGGGAGTGCAGATGCACCAGGATATGATTTGGTTAATATCCTTAATTATGTATTCTTATTTTATTCTGTAGTTGTAGGATATTTTTCTGTAATCTTTTATTCTTTCCTTGTTAATATTTGTACTATATATATTGTACAACTACGATGAATGGAATCATCATAAAATTATTCCACAATTGTATTTATTGATATGGTATCAGAGCCTCCTTCAATCTCCTCTTCTTAACTTTAGGAATTGAAGTAGGTCATGTATTCACAATTGATGTTTTTGCTCATATCATTCCGCTGCAAAATTTTCTTTTAGTGCCATCATGACTGAAGTAAGTGGTGCTAAATCACCAAAGAAGAACAAATCTTCGACTATTGTGTTTGGCCTCCATTTGCAAGAAACTTCCTCTCTCATCACTCCAGAACAGCTTGATGGTACCAATTATGTGGAGTGGCCTTTGAATGCCCGAAATAAAATCCGTGGGAGAAAATGTTGGGGTTATATTTCGAGTACCAAGTTTGCTCCATCAAATAAAAAGTCAGAAGAGTATGAAGAATGGGAGGATGAAAAGTATTTGGTCAAATCTTGACTACTTGATGCGATGACAAAGGATATTCAGTCTCTCTTTCTTTGATTGTCTACGGCGAAGGAGATATGGGAGGCGGTTAAAAACACGTATTCAGTTGATCAGAATGGGTCAAAAGCTTATCAACTTCATTGCGAGGTATTTTCTGTCCGCCAGAATGGAGGTTCTGTTATTCCTTATTTTGGCAAATTACAGAAAATATGGCAGGAGCTTGATGATATTATTGCCTGTATTATGGAGTGTGCCAATGATATTGCTATATATACCATGAAGGTTAATTTTGAACGCGTGTATAAGTTTTTGCTGGTCTTGATCCTCATTTAGATGGGGTTCGAGGTCATGTACTTTCTACAAAACTACTTCCTAATATACTGGCGGCTTATGCTATGGTTTATTCGGAAGCTAATAGCCAAGATGTTGTGCTTGGAGGAAATATTGGAGAAGGGGTTGTAATGGCTTCTCTGAAGATGACCATCTCAAAAAAGGATAAAAA